ATTTCAACTGAAGAGTGAGACTGAAGAAACATTTGATAATACCAGCCAGAAAAAGGCTAAACTAAAAGAAGAAAATAAAATATCTGAGGCTCTACTCCCCATCACTAATAAACTCCAGACAACAATCAAGGCAGAGGGCTTAGGGCAGGACTATGAGAAACAAGCTGAACGTTTCTGACAGGAGCTGAATTTTCAGCTCCAGGGCCAGCATTCCAAATGACACTAGAATTACGTGCAGTGAAGCCTAAATTTTATACGAGAAGGAAGAGAAGGCATTCCGTTTTTCTACTTAGAAGCCAAACACTTGTGGCCCGATGTGAATATTTAAAGTCTTATTTTAAAAATAAACTAGGTAAATACCAAGCTATGGGCATATGGAATTCATGTTTTTATTACCCTAGGTATAAAATACAAGAGCAAAGAGCTTATTCTGGAATTGTACAAAATGCAGGTTAGTCCATAATTGGAACGTTGCATACAGTTCTGGTATCACATTATAGGTAGGATGTGATTGCACTAGAGAGGGTGTAGAGGTGACTCACCAGAATGCCACAGGGTTTGGAGGGTTTAAGCTGCAAGGAAAGATCGCATATGGTGGGGTTATTTTTGTTGGTAGCAGTGAAGGTTGAGGGGAGACCGGAGAGGTATATAAGATGATGAAGGGGATAGATAGGAAGGCGCTTTTTTCATTAACAGAGAGCTCAATAACCAGATGCATTGATTTAAGTTAAGTAAAAGGCTCAAAAAGAAAAGAGTCGAAAAGAAATTGTTTTCATTCAGAGGTTGGCAGGAGTCTGGAACTCACTGTCTGAATGGTCACTGACTCAAATTCTCTTAACATTTCAGACATATTTAGATACTGACTTGTATTGCCATAGCCTCCAAAGTTATTGACCAAAAGCTGGAAAATCAGATTAGTGTAATCAGATCTAAATTGATTGGCAAGGGCACAATGGGTTGAACAGCCTCCCTCCAAGCTGTAAATGTTTCACAGTCCATTTCCCCCAACATCCTGGTTAAGGAAAACGGCCCCAAGCAAACTCCTCTCAACCATTTCAGATTCACCATCCTTTTCCTCCACAGGCTGTTTCTTTCACTTTACACTTCCTGTTTCCCATCTGAAGGAGGCTCCAGCATAGCATTACCATCATTGCCAATTATTCTCTTTCATCTCGAGCTAAATCCCTATACTGCCCTCATCCATACTTCATATACCCATGTTCATTCCTTCCTTTCTTACGCTTTTCCACCGTCATTCAGTTGCATTCTACCATGCTTGACCTACCTGTTGGACCTAGTCATATCTCCTTGCATCACTGCTAGAGATCAACTGGTATCTTCAATTATAATTTCACACATACCAAGCATGTTGTTACAATTTCATGTCGGGCAAATTTTGACTTTTTCTGGCCAGGCAGGTACTGAACAGATTGGATTGACATTAAAGTTAACAAAGAAAAATTGGACTTAGTAGATCAAAATGGCTGGCTAATCTGATATTAGTTTCCCACCAGACAGGGCACATTAAAATTATCACTATAGAATACAAAGTCAAAATCAACATTTCTGCCTGTTGTAGCCACTATTAGTGTTTCTGCAAAAATATGATGCTAAGACTGCCAAATCAGGCATTGATGAGAAGGTAACATTTGATGGCACTGTTGATTACTTCTTCCATTATATTACTGGTCTGTAATTGCATTGATAAACGTTGTTATTTAGCAACTTAATGTACAAAAGTGAACTGCACATAAAAACGGCTCCTTTAAAGCCTCAAATGATTTTCTGTCTGCATTCAATAAACACATTAACAAATTTCACAGTCCAATGACAAAATGGAAGTAGGACAAATCAAATTAATAAGAACAATAAAATTTAAAAAAAAAAACTACACATGCTGAAAACCTGAAACAAAAACACACCGGGTCTGGGATTTGTTTTCTGAAGAAGGGTCACTGGACTCGAAATGTTAACGCAGCTTTCTCTCCACAGATACTACTAGACCTGTAGCGTTCCTCCGGCAATTTCTGTTTTTGTTAACAAGAATAATGTTGGTCAACTAGTGCTTTAATAAGATCTCAAGTGAGATTTAGTACTACTGAAAATAGACCAATAATCAGCACACTTATGATTAGAAATGTGTTTGCTATAAAATTTAGCATGGAACATCTTAGAAAACGGATGTTAATTTGTCTTTAGTTCATTCTATTTCCTGCAGAGCCTATAAATTTATTAGTGGCTCAAGGCATATTTTACTTACACCTGGTCTCATGGTAAACAGGGATGTCATCTTATCAGGCATCAACAAATCCTGAGATTCCATTCAGCTCAGTATTTTTTTTGGCAGCTTAAGGGTTAGACACAGCGAGGCTGTAACTATCAGGAGCAATGTGGTTTCTGTGTTACTGCAGTGTTGGTTCCTATGGCAACATACCATCCTGTGAGCAATGTTACCTTTTCCTTTGTCTACAGGTCAGCAGTGAAAAATAGGTCATCACCACCTGCTATTGCCCATTCCATTTTCATCACTATTAAGCTCAACTTGAAATCCAAAATAAATTAAAGCCAGTCGAGTTGAGCACCAACAGTTTGTTTGATTCTATTAATCTTAATTTCAGACTTCCATGTTCTAGCAAACAGGTTTGCTAAAAGGTAAAATTATACAGACTGAAAATAAAATTATGTGCCCACATGCTATGAATGAATTAAAAAAAAAACAGAACCTACAGCAATTCCTGTGTCCTAATATACATGCAAACTGCTAAATTTGTCTATTGAATACAAATATACATAAAAGTAACACAATATCAGAAATTGGATTTTTGTTGTCTCTCATAGGATCATGAGTCTGTGGAACTCTTACTGAAAAGGTGGTGGTAGAAGAGTCCTTGAATATTTTTAAGGTAAGATAGATAGATTAGTGTTAAATAAGGGATTGAAACATTAGCAAGGGTAGGCAGAAATTGGATTAAATTTGAGATTACAATCAGACCGGCCTGATCTAATTGAATGGTGGAACAGACTTGAGGGTCTGAATGGCCAGCTCCTGTTCCTTAATCAGATATTCATATGTACTTTCATACAACAGTTGCCGGGCTTTTGGAGAAATACGCATTTAAATTTAAATAAGTTCGCTACTTTCACACAGAACATAACTTGACATCTTTAAAAATAACAATGAATGGAATCCCTTACAATTGTTTTGACAGCATATGCTGGTGGAACAGAAATCCTCAAGTGCAGTACAAGTGTGAACATCTGAAGAGTTGGTCCTGCTTGAATTTATTATTTTCTAATTCAGATTTCTATCATTTGCTGCTCATTTATATCATGGTCAACTCTATCTATGCCTCACTTACAATTTTGAGAGACGTAATCAAAATTTAAGACAAGTGCAATATATTGCAAGTTACACTTGTATTGTTCGTAATCTGAATTAGGATTAATAGTCTGGTTTTCATACTTGGTCACAGAATTAGGCATCTCTGGCTAAACTAGCATTTATTGCCCATCCCTAATTGCCAAGGAGAAGGGTGCAGTGAGCTACCTTCTTAAACTATTGAAATCCTCCAGGGTGTAGGAACACCAACAATGCTGTTCGGAAAGCAGCTCCAGCATACTGAGCCCAACAATGAAGGAATAGCATACAGTTCATGTCACAATGCTATAAGACTTGGAAGGAAATTTGCAGGTATTGGTGTTCCTATGCATCTGTTGCATTTGTCCTTTGTCAGTAGAGTTTGGGGTTTGGAATGTGCTTCTGAACAAGTCTTGGCGATTTGCTACAGTCCATCTTGTAGATAGCACATATTGTTGCTACTCTTCATCACTGGTGAGGAGAGTGAATGTTAAAGATAGTGGATCAAGAGGGTGTTTTTTCCTGGATGGTATTGAGCTTTGAGTATTATTGGAGCTTCACCCATCCAAGCAAGTGGACAGTATTCCATCATGCTCTTGCCAAGTGCCTTGTGGATGGTGCACAGGCATTACGGAGACAGGAGGCGAGATGTGTACCACAGAATTCTGAGTCTCTGACCACAGTACTTATATAGCTATTCCTGTTCAGTTTTTCATCAATGTTCAATGTTCAGTCCAAGAACATTGTTGGGGGGGTAGTTTCAATGGTGGTAATGCCAACAAATGTCTTGGGGTGATGGTTAGAATCTCCAATACAAGGAAAATACCATAGATGCTGAAGATCTGAAATAAAAACAGAAAATGCTGGAGAAACTCAGCATGTCAGGCAGCATCTGTAGACACCAAACATCTCAAGTTCCAAGGCAGTTCCAAAGAAGAATCATGGGATTCAAAAATAACTCTATTTCACTGCCCACAGATCCTTTCAGACCTGCTAATTTTCTCTAACACTTTGTTGTTATTATGGCTAGGTGCTCTTGTTTGGGGTCATTAGGAGGCATTATCTCAATTTACCTAGTCTTTCCAAATGTAGATTTTATTCACTTTTTATCTCTGTATTTCAGACTTCCATCACTGTGTAAGTAAAATGTTGTTAATTTTATTTATTACAAATTAAACAAAAAAATTTTAAGCAGTCTTTTAAAACTTCTGCCAAAATAAACACATCCAACATGACTTGTCTTTGGGTTACCATCCCTTCGGTCCTCTTAACATCAGCCCCTACCCTTGGCAGGAATATTACTGCTATTGCTGTACTAATTTCTGTTGTCACAACTTCACTGTCCAAACACAAAGCAAATTATTTATAGACAGCTTTAGTAATATTGTTTCTCATGGCTCAGTAGCACATTAAAAAACTTTCAAGTGCAGATGCTTTTCTTCCATTATTAGATTTCTATTAAAATTATGGAGTACAATTAATATCTTAAAACAGAGATATGATGCAATTACAGTTTCCAGATTATAGTATTCAAAAGTAGGAAGTACATGTAAATAGGAGCTTCATTTCCCATTATTTCTGTTTCTAAATTCCATTCTATTAAATCTACTTTATTTTCCAAAAAGAAAAAAAAACGATTTACCTTTCTTCTTTATCCAAAGCTTTCTTATCTGCTGAATTACTCTTCTTAGGAGGTACAGGTGGTGACACCTTCCTACAGATCTCCTCAATACTACACTTGTTCTGGCGACTCCGTGCCGCAGTTTTTATTAGAATTCTTTCTATTGCTGTTATCCCATCACCATGGATTTGTTGCATTGGGTCCAAGCTGGTTGTAGATTCTGAATCTTCTAACCAAAATGGATAATAAGAGTTTTGTTTTCCTGAGAGTTTATGATGAAGCTTGATAAGTAAAGAAAGCATACTTTCTCTGACTTCCAAAATGGTTGTGGTAAGTTGCGGAGTTGAATTCAGAGCAGTCCACTTTGATGTCTTTGGTCTCACAGCCGCAGTCTGAATTGCACTGCCACTGTTGCGATTTATAATCTCCTGAAACTTTCTTCTGCGCTCTGCAACCAAACTGAAGACCTGAGCTGTATTTGGATTCTGAAAGAAATGAAATAAAATTTTGTTGCAACAATAAAATTTCAAAAGTTTAAATGTCGGTGCACATTCACAACTACAGGTATACTTGACATTAAGCTAGATTGCTAACATGCTGCACTCGTGTGAAACCATTGTTATTGGTCTACTTTCAACATGGTGCGAGACCAGTTTCCCCAATTTTAAAAAAATAGTATTTTTTGTTTAAAATGTACTGAGTATTACTTCAGGACAACAACTTGAATTTCATTTCTTATGAAATTGAAAAACCTTATCACCAATTCTCACTAACTTACAAACAAGCAGCAAGATGAAATTCTTCTACTTTCTAATTATATAACCAGCTGCATGCTTTCTTTTTTTCTAAAAAAAAAACAAACATACTAAAGCATCAGAACAAAACAATTTTCATTTACAGAATTCACGTACAGGTACACTGAACACCAGGCTGCAAGCTGGAGAAAAAAGGGGCTGAGGATAGGAAGGAAAAATATGAGAGAAATTTTAACTAATTCAAAATCCAAGCACTTGGACAGATAACAGGTGAGTCATATATCCCAGGCAGTAAATTAATATCTTAAGATTTACAGAATTGAAAGATAATTTTAGGCAGCATTCCAATCAATTTTGTTTCTCCTACAATGTCTACTTATTAAGTGAATTCTGCAACATTCCACGCAATAACTTTGATATATTGATTATTCAAGACAAGAAAAAACTTGAGTACCTCTCTGTTGAGAGCAGTAGCCCTTCTTGACCCCTATTACAGAGGAAGAGAGATGAAAAGAATTGTTGTAAAGCATAGAACTGTTAGCTTTAAAAGTAAAGGACACCATTTTTCAGTGAAAACACAAGCACCCTTGCATACCCTGTGATGCAACATTTCCTTGCAGTGTGATATTAAAAGGAGCCAAAGATTTCCCTAGTGTCACCACTAAAGTAAAAAACAATTGGAAGATCATGTTATTTCTGGTACTACATATTTCCAAAATACAAAGTGAACTGACACAAATACCTCATCATCGATTCTCAGTCTTCTTCCAAACTGCAACTACAGTTCAATGCAAACCCAGTGCTACCCACTTGAGTCTGCCATCACTCACAGCATGCTTCCTCAGGCCCATTTCCAATCAATTCAATTGTTTTTGCCAATTTCCTTCCATCAATCTCATTCTTTGCTCATCTTTATCTACCCCTGGAACATAATAATTCCTCCAATTCTCTCATCGGCACCCATTCAACTTCTAGGTCTCTTGCTCTCACTCCAGCTGTACACAAACATCTATCAAATCACAGCCAGAGAATCAATTGTAATGGCTTCTCTTCCTACTGCCACACCATTACCTCTGGCATTCCCAAGATCTATGCTTGTCCTCTCCTATTTCATGTCTTTGTTATCTCCTGGCCTAGATTAATGCAGCAGTATGTGTTATCTACAAAATGCCCTGCAACAATTCACCAAGGCTCCCTCAACACCACCTTCGAAACGTGAAAGCTCTGCAACCTAAAAGGACAAGGGAAACAGATTATTGAGAATACTACCACCTGCAAGATCCACTCAAAGTTGCACACCATCCTGACTTGGAACTATATCACCATTCTTTCACTGTTGCAGCCTCAAAATCTTGGACCTCCCTTCCTAACACTTGTGCATTTTGTTTTATTCTTTCTTGGGACAGGACATCACTGTCAATGTCAACACTTGTTTCCCACTTCATATTGCCTTTGCACTGAATGACTTGCTTGACCGTTTCAGAGTGTATTTACTGAGGGTCCGAAGTCACATTTGGACAGACCATGTCAGCGCAGCAAACATTCTTCCCTTAAAAGAACATTAATAAACCAGTTGGATTTATACAACAATTTATAATAATTTTCACAGTCACCATCACCAAGACTTACTTTTCCTTCCTGATTTATTAATTCAATTTAAATTTCCAGCAGCAGCAGCGAGATTTGAACCCACGTCCTCAAATCAGTAGCTTGGACATCTGGAATACTTGTCCAGTGACTAACGCTATGCCTTTTATCTGACCAACCTAAACACAATCCACAAACCATAGCAGTTCAAGAGGGTAACTATCAATTTCTCAAGGGCAATTAAGGTTGGCAATGAATGCAAAACCCGTGAAGCCTACATCTAAAAGAAAAAATAAAAACAAGAAGTGTACCATTCCAATGCACTCCTGGATATCCTGTCCTGTCAGTGGAATGGAGAAAGATGGACACTGCCACCAATCTAGGGAAGTGGGGACTGTACTGCTGGGGAAATCCATGCCACAACCATGTTGGGGGCAGCTTCCAGTGATTCAAGTTACGAAGAAAGTAGAGAGGGTTTTAAAGCTACATAGTGGGGTCAAGGGATCCAATTTGGGAAGGAATGTATGAATCACAAAGTTCATAGGACAGGCAAAGCAAATATTTAGGAATGCTAATCAGTGTTGTTGTTGATTGTGAGAGAAACTGAATACAAAAGGTAGAAACACATGATTCAATTATACAGGGCACGAATGAGATGACATCCGTAGTACAATCGCCGTCGTGGACCTTCTTATTTAAGGAAGAATGTTAAAACACTGGACTCTTTCCTGACCCGAAATGTCACCTTTCCTGCTCCTCTGATGCTGCCTGGCCTGCTGCTCCAGCTCCACACTGTGGTGACTGAAACATAGAAAGTTTTGAGTGAAGGGAATGATGCATTTTAAAGGAGTGGCCCCTACTTCTAGATCCTCCCTCAAAAGGAAAGAGTTTGCTTATTAAGGCAGAGATAAGGAGAATATTTTTTCTGATAAACCATCATGAGTCTTAGGAACTCTGCTTCCTCTGCTTTTTGAAGAAGAGGGTTTTTGAAAATTTAAGGCCATAATAGGTAGATACTTCGTAAGAAAGGATCAAAATGTGTAAAATATGTTAGTAAAAATTGATGCAGGAATCACATCAGCCATGATCTTACTGAAAGATGCAGAGTTGAGGGATCAAGTGCCCTATTCTGGATAATTCATATGTTCATATTTCATGGGCCATGCAAACATGAGGAAGAGATCAATAGCCAATAAAAGATCAGACAATGTATTCTCATATTTCTAGCATTTGTCTATTTTATTATTTCTGAACAATTGTTGCAAATGGGAGGCTAAACCATCGCAACAAACACACCAACCTGTACAAAAGAAGAGGTATCTGAGCTCGTGCTAGCAGGTGGTTCCCTGGTCACTTCAGGTGCTGTCTCCGGAAGTCTGACTCGCACATAGTTAATGACATGATGCAGATTTGTTGCTATGTTAGTTCCATGAAACCAACTATCAGAACATCGCTCCTCACCAAACATTTCCTACGAGAAAATTTGATTATAAAATTAATTATTCTTTTCTGTGTAAACACAGTTGAACATGTCTTAGACTTGTCTTTACTAAATACAGCTAAATAGAAAATTAAATTACACATAAAAGCAATTGGTCAGAAACTATTGTACCCCGGCAATGTCATCAAATGCTTGGTGCCAAACACCACATGAAAAAATACCTCAGATACATTCATAATTAGGGCTGTAAGTATTTTCCACGGCTTGGTTTGTAACATGGAGACCATGAAGTTTCAAGAGTTTGCTGAAACCACGTGAAAGCCATGAATGTATCCCAATACCTTCATGAAATAGCAAGGATTCTACGTTCATTTTTGAGTCTTCGCAATATGTCCTGACATCTTCAAAGATTTGCTAGATACACAACAGGAACCAGTGTTTTCTCACCTCCTTTGAAATTTTACCATTTATTTCACATTTTTTTACCTCATTCATCCTAGCAAAATAAATCACTTCAATTTTTTGCAGGATAGCACAGTGGCTCAGTGGTTAGCGGTTAGCACTGCTGCCTCACAGTACCAGGGACCCTGGTTTGATTCCACCCTCAGGCAACTGTCTGTGTGGAATTTGCACATTCTTCCAGTGTCTGTGTGGGTTTCCTCCAGGTGCTCTGGTTTCCTCCCACAGTCAACGGTCTGCAGGTTAGGTGGACTGGCCATCCTAAATTGCTCAGTGTCCAGTGATCAGCAGACTAGGTGGATTAGCTAAGAGAAATATGGGATTATGGATATTGGGTGGGTCTGGCTAGGCTGCTCTTTGGAGGGTCGACGTGAACGCGATGGGCTGGATGACTTACTTCCACGCTGTAGGGATTCTATGACCCTAAATTGCATCTACACATTTCGGCAATCTGCCTTTGGAAATCTATTATTAGCAACATGACCTACATTCCAAAGGTTTTTATTACTTGTAAACTAAGCACTGCGTACCCAAGTCCAGGAGATTTAACACACATTTATAAAAGTGTGGTAGACCTAATAAAGAACTCTGAAGAATACCACAGGGTATATTTCTCTCCAATCTCAAAAAGTCAGTCAGTCACAATTCTCTTCACCAGTGGCAATTTTTTAAAAACCATTCAGCCAAGTGCCCTTCACATGTGAACATATGAAACAAGAGCAGAAGAGCCCCTCAAATCTGCTCCAACATTCATGAAGATCATGGCTGATCAGTATGTCATTCAAATTCCACATTCCTAGCCCACACCCCGCAACAACCTTAAACTCCCTTTCCTGAAGGGATCTATCTACCTTAAAAATATTTAACGACTGAACCCTACTGCCTTCTGAGACAAAGTTGCAAAACTACATAACCCTCTGAGAAGAAAATTCTCAGCTGTCTGAAAGAGGGTGACCCCTAATTTTAAAATAGTACCTCCTAATTCTGGACCCATCTACAACAGGAAATGTCCATTCCATATCCACCCTATCAAAACTATTCAGAATCTCAAACTTCAATCTAGTCACCTTCACTGTTCTGAGCGCAGTGCAAATAAGCCAACTTGTCCAACTTATCCTCATAGGACAAGGTGTTCATTTCATATATCAATCTGAGAAAACCTTCTCTGAACTACCTGCAATGAATTTACATCCTTTCTTGAATAGGCAGATCAAGAATACACACAGTTTGAGAGAAGTGGTATAACAGAACCATAACATTTAAGCTTTATTCAATTCTCCAGTAACAAAAGATAGAATCCCATTAGGTTTCTTGATTACATACTGCATCTGCATTTTTAAGTTTTGTGACTCATGCACTAGAATGCCAAATCCTTCTGCATATCAAATTCTGCAATCATTATCCATTTAAACACTCTGCTTTCTCATTTTTCATAACAAAGTGGACAACTTCACATTTTTTCACATGCTTCAACTGTCAGATTTTCAGCTATTCACAAACTATGTCTACAACTTCTTTGTGTCTTCATATTTTCTTACCTAATTGTTGTCATCTACAAAGATACTACCCTGCCTTTGCTCCCACATCAACGTCATTTATGTAAATTGAAAAATGTTGGGCCCGATCTCAGGACTCCTATAGGACAACATTTATTACATCCTACCGACCAAAAACCCATTCATGCATACCGTTTTCTAGAAGGCACCATTCTTCTAGCTACACCCCCACGATCTTTTATTTTCCATAACTTTTGATGTTGCGTCTTATCAAATACCTAAAAGTACAGTACATCTCCAGGCTTCCCTTTATCTACAGGGAATACTGCTTCCAAGAACTCCAATAAATTTGTTAGACATGATTTCCCTTTAATGAAACGATGCCGATTCTTCTCAGTTACTTCGAGTTTTTCAAAGTGCACAGCTAGAAATCTCTGAAGTGATTGATTCTAACACATTACTCACAGCAGACTTCAAGCTAACAGGTCTACACTTTCCTGTTATCTGCCGCCCTCCCATTGTGAATAAAGAAATTACATCTGATACTTTCCAGTCTGACAGCACTCTTACTGAATGTAAAGGGATCTTAGAAAATTAACTGCAGCACAACTACTCGCTTATTAGCCACCTCTTATCAGACACTAGGATGAAGTCCATTTGGTTCCACAGACTTCTCATTCTGCAGGTACATCACTTTGCCTCATGCCACTTCCCTCGTGACTGTCATTTCATCAGTTCCTCTCTCCCTCCAACATCCTGATTTACCACTATTACCACGATTTTTGTTTTGATCCTCTATAGTGAAGAAAGAAGCGAAGTAGTTGCTCCTTTTATCTGTCATTTCCATATCAGCTATTATTAACTCCCAATTCTCTCATTCTAAAAAGAACACTTACTTTCTCTTTTCATTTTACGTACTTTTAGAAACTCTCGCTGTCTGTTCCTACATTCCTAGTTAGCTTCGCCTCATCCCAGATAAACCTTTGGTCAAATTATAAAGAACGACAGGGAATGACTATCATCTGACCTGCCAAACATTTAAGTGCAGATATATGCTTTTCCTCAAGTTTGATATCTTCCTCAACTTTAGTTACCCATGAATGACGGATTTAGAATTTTTTATTTACAGTACGAATATTCTTGGAGTATTCTGAATTATCCATTTAAAATGACTGCTACTGTATCTCTATTGATGTTTCCACTAGCCTGGTAGGGGAGTTCATTTCAGCTAGCTGGGTTTCATAACCACATAGTTGTCTTTATTTTAAGTTTAGAAGGCCAGTCTTAAGATCCAAGCTTCTTCCTTTCAAATTAGAAGAAGTGAAACTGAATCAAATTGTCACTTCAGAATGCTTTTACTCCGAGGTCATCAATTAATCTTGTCACATTACACAATACCAAGACGAATATAATTTGAGCTCTCTGGTCTGTTCCAGAACACGCTGCCCTAAGAAATTCTCTCAAAATAATTCAATTAACTTCTCAACCAAGCTATTTCTGCTAACCTAGTTTTCTTAATTTTACTTTATATAGATTAAGGTCACCCATGATTATTTCTGTCCTTTATCACAAGCACCTAATAGTTTATCTTGTATGCTTTGTCTCAGACAATGATTACTGTTATAGGGCCTGAAGACCACTCCCACTACTGACTTATTTCTGCTTGTGTTCCTCATCAACCCCCCCAAACTGATTCTCCATCCTAACCTCCTGAACCGTCCATCTCCAACTATTGCACAAATACCATCCTTGATTAACAGCGATACCTCACCACCTTTACCTTGCTTCTATTCTTCTTGAACATCAAATACCCCTCAACTTTCAGGATCCAATCCCATCATCCTGCAACCACATTTCTACAATGGCTCTCAGATCATTTATATTTACTTCAACAGGCACTATCAATTGTTTATTTGGTTATGAACACTACATACAGAGACAGAGCCTTCATTTTCTTCATTATAGGATATTACAATAAAAATTTAATCTAAATAATTGAAACTTTTTTGTAAAACAAAACTACAAGATTACTGTATCAGGCAAACCATACTGGAAGCTGAATGTTTAATACCTTTCACTGCATTCAAGATATTTATTTAGGCTAAACTAAGATTCACGCATAAAATCCTGCTTGCATGAAATGCTGAAAATTTTTCTTTTAGTAATATATTACAAGTTCTACATGTACAGCTCACTCCCTCCATGAATCTTTGGCTCATACTTTAATTTTCAAATATGTAACATTAAAAATAGGAAATCCAATTATGACATCTGACTGCCACAAATTTCTTAGGCTGTGAATATACTAATCAAAAGCAAGACAAAACAACTACAAAACTGAGAAAATACACAAGATTCATTGATACAACATCAAATATCCAGTCAGGAGAATTTATCAACAATTAAAATATATGAAACAACTAAATGAAACTTCTAAGAAATTAAAAGATAATTCCAAATCACACTTTCATTTTAATGTGCAAAGCATCTGTAGCAAAGTGAACAGAAATGCAGCCATCGTGAATGTAAATAAAAGCACAAGTAAAAGTAAAAGTAACAGTAACTGTGGCAACTAATGTAACTAAAAGGCATAAGCCCTCCATACAGAATCATACAGCCCAGAAGACGCTCTCCCGCTCGAATCTGTACTGTCAAAAATATACAAATACTACACTAGTCCCATTTTCTTCCACCAGTCCCATTGCCTTAAATGGGATAACACTTCAAGCATTCACCAAGTATTTTGTTCACCAAGTACAATTGCCAGGTTGTGAAGTTACCTGCCTCAACTACCATCCCAGGTAGTGCATTCCAGGCCCCCAACACCCTCTGGGTGAAAAAAATCTTTTCTTCAAATCCTGTCTCAACTTCGTGCCTTTAGCATTAAAAGTATGCCCCCTTGTTATTGACACTTTGACTAAAAGGAAACAGCTACTTTCTACTTGTCCTGTCCATGTCCCTCAATTTCATACACCTCTATCAGGTCCCCCTCTCAACCTCCTCTGCTCTAGAGAAATCAACCCAAGATCACCCCAGCTCTCTTCATAACTTCCACCATCCCAGGCAACATTCATC